GTGCTGTCTGCTGCTTAGGCTTACGTGTCTTTATATTAGATGAACATATAATTACAATATCGATACATCTAATAAAGTAAGAATCACACAAAATCTACAATACTGATAATCAGAATGGAATTACTTTGATAGAATCAGATTGAATCCACTATCACTCAATATAACTAATATTAAACTATTGAGGTTATATGTGGTAGTGAGGGGTTTAATATTGATTGGCAAACGGTTATCATCATGTGCATTTTATAACAAGTATTTGTAAATCATACTATGTACATTGAACAGCGTAATAACAGTGTGATCTTAAGTGTGTATATATATTTCATGTATTATAAATACTTACAATATTAAATGTGTGTTAACAGTTTTTACACAATAAAATTCGCATTGACATAAACAATATGAACTTGATATGGCACTCAATCGACATTAACTACACACAGATTCGCTATCACACTGGAGAATAGTATACACCTCGATCTTAGATACGCACTTATACCGCTGTTCCTCTAGGAGATATTATAGAATATCAACACATGCAACTATAAGTTATGAAATTACAAAATACAATACAATTATGTTACAATACAATTATTTTATATATATGCCACACCTCTCACACTCTCTGATTTTATCTATAAAATGATTGGTCATATTGAAAGTGATACTGACAACTCTAACAGATGACATCTCTCACTCATATATAATATAGAAATGTTGCCTGTTTATACATCATTTAGATTCAAACGACATATATTATAACTAATTGGTGAGGCTGAGTATTTTTGTTTAATCGGTGTCAGACTTGTTTTCTTCTTATAAATATATAAGTCACCTTACAATAATCTATACTTAGAAACTAATGCAATCATTTGCTGTATTAGGAGCTGACACATAGATAATATACCTAGAAGCACAGGTGGAAAATTTTGCCTTGTGAACTGTTCGGTTATACTCTGAAACCTCACAATACCTATATACCTACATACACACCACACAACACACACACACACACACAAAACACACACACACACACAACACACACACACACACTACTGACAAAGACATAAACACAACAGAATTACACACACTTAGAGAACAACATACACATACACATGTACACACCATTTGTTTCCACACATAGCATAAGCAGTAATATTATGTGTAAGTACATGCACATTGGCACACATACTGACACATAACTACAGGAGTACACACACTTCAAAAGAAAGGAAGAAAAAACCAACCACATACACAAAAACACACAATACACACACTACACACACAGAGATATCTTTATAGCTATTCAGTACAGTACATGTATACACACAAACTGCACACATGCATACAAGCACAGACTCATATACACACAACATGTCTGGGATCAATACATAAGAGTAGCTGCATAAACATATACACACACACACACACACACACACGGCACCACACACCACACACACACACACACACACACACACTGAACACGTTAGTGAGGTGATTAGTCAAACACTCGCTGATGGCAACAAAGTGATGCCACCCACGGACTCAGAGAACGCAACACTGCTTGACTGAAACCATAAACATGTTTATATTTATTCAGTGTCTCATTTTGGATCAGGGAGACTGAGCAAACAGTGACATTTAATATCTTAAACTAACCAATGTATGCAAGTGTTTTCAGAAAACTCCACAAAGAGAATGATTGGGGATTAAGGATCGAGTCAAATATAATCTATTGTAGTGGACTGTATCTATTGTATAGCTTTTTATAATTTCTATAAACAAACGACAACAAAAAATCACAATAGTGACAAAAACATTAACCAATAAAGTTAAGTTCTAAGGAAAAAAAAAAGAAACGTTTATCCAAACAATTATAAATCTCTTTGAAAATTTTAATTAGAATTT